TAAATACATTAGGTAAAATTATTATTTTTAGAATTATACTGGCTTTACCTACCCATGAACAACAAATATTACTTAAATTATTTAGATCTAAGTTTTATATGTATAAAATGTGCTTTATGTTCATATTCATATAGTTCTTGTGTCTGTTTTAACAGGTATGTGCCCAGGTATTTTATACTGTTGAGGTATTTTAAATGGTCTAGAACAGTATTGAATAATATTGCTGACACATAGTATAGTTTCTCTATTTCTCACTTTTGATTAAATCTATCTTAACTTTAACTTTTTACCATCCCTGGGTTATTGGTTTTTGTTGTTGTTGTTGGTTTGTTTGTTTGTTTTTACATGCTAAATTCTACCCCTACCTTTTATTTTATCTTTGTTTGGTATCTCTCATTTTTATAATGTTTCCTGATAGCAACATATTGTTGAATACAAAATTTTAATCTGCTATTTTCATTTTAAATTTGTCTCATTCATATTCTAAGCTATAATTACTTGTGCATTTTCCTCCTTCCATTTTTTTCCTCATTATCCTTCTCATCCTATTTACCCTATTCCTCCTCACTTCTCTACTTTATTTCTACCCACTTCTTTGGCCTTCTATTCCTTAAGCTACCCCCACGAGTCCCTCCCTTATCCTTTCTCTTTGCCCTATCCCCTTGCCCTCTTGTTTCTTTCTGAATTTAGAAGACTTTTATACATATATATGTGTATGTATATATACATATACACACATATGTACATACACACATACATGTGTGTATGTATGTATATATGTATATTATATATATGCACTATTCCCTCTCTAACCCATTCTCATTGAGAGTAGTACTATCAACCCTCCTCCCTCTTATCTTTTTTGTATCAATTTTTCTTTTTATACTTCATTTGTATGAGATAATTACTCCTTTTTATCTCTCCCTACAAAGTTTTATTTTTTTCGAATCACCTCATCATTCTCAGCTCAGCCCGTGCCTTTCTTTCAAACTACCCAAATAATGATGACAATCATAAGAGTACTGCTAATATTTCCACATATGTGAAGTAAACAATTTGACCTTATTGGGTCTCTTATAATTGGTCTTCAATGTTTACTTTATATTTCGCCTAGGTGCTACACATTGAATTTTACCTTAATTTCTGAGGTTTTTGTCACAAAAAAACTTGAAAGTCTTTGAGTTTGTTAAATGCCCTTTTTTTTTTCCATTCAAGATTATACTTAACTTTACTTGGCAAGTTATCCTTGGTCATAACCTCAGTTCTTTTGCTCTACAGGATATAGTATTCTGAGATTTATGGTCCTTCAATGTAGTAGCTGCTAGGTCTTATGTAATCCTTATTGTAGTTCCATGATATTTAATTTTTTTTCCTTGTTGCTTCCAATATTTTCTCCTTTACCTGGAAGCTTCAAAACTTGGCTACAATATTCCTGTTAGTTTTCCTCTTAGGATCTCTTTCAGGTGGTGATAAGTGGATTTTTTCTATTTCCATTTTGCTTTCTTGTTTTAGATTTTCAGATTAATTTCCCTTGATAATTTCTTGTAATACTATATCAAGATTCTTTTTTCAAATCATAATTTTCAGGTAGTCTACTCTCATTTCTCCTTGACCTGTTCTAGGTATTTTTTCTGATAAGATGTTTCCCTTCCTTTTCTATTTTTTCATTCTTTTGATTTTTTTTTATAATTTCTTGGTGTGTTAGAATGTCATTAGCTTCCCCTTGCCCAATTCCAATTTCCAAAAAATTATTTTCTTCTTTAAGTTTTGGATTCTGTATTTCTGGTTGGTTGACTTTCTTTTTATAATATTCTTGATTTTCTTGGATTACCTATTTTTTTCTGATTTTTCCTCGATCTCTCTTATTTGATTTTTAAAGTCCTTTTTATGTTCTTCTAAGAAATCATTTTGTGCTTAGGACCATTTGACATTTCTCAATGAAAAAGGAGTGACTTTTTTAGCACCATTATTGTCCTCTGAATATGAACCCAGATCTCTATCCCCATAGTCACTATCTATGGTTGGGTTCTTTTTTCTTTGCTTACTCATTTTTATTTATTTATATTTTGTTTTTGTTTTATTTTTTTTTAGCAGCTATTAGAGTAATCATGTTGTAGTCATGAGATATGGAGAATGATGCCCCAAGCCTCAGGTCCTTCTTATGTTATTTTCTAAGGTCTATATTAGGGCTGAACCATGGACTCTCCTCTCCATTCCTAAGCCACAGCTAGGTCCCCCAGCCACACTGTCCCACAAACGATTTTGCTCCCTGTAACCTCAGGTGGCTGCAAAATACAGCTGTCCTCTCTGCCCCAGAACTGAAACCATGGATTCTACTCTTCTGCAAGCGCCCATAGGCAACAGCATCCCTACCCCTTACTACTGCACTCATCAGATATGTGCTAGTTTCTGCAGCCATAGCCTGGGATGGGTCTGGTCAGTACAGCTGTGCTTGGTGTCCCTCTACAATGGATTAAAAAAGTAAGACAGCCCTTGGTCTCAAGAAATTATCATTCTAATAGAGGAGACAACATATATGCAAGGTTAAAACTACAAGTCCCTCTTGGTCCTTAACATACACTAAAAAAGCAGATGTCAATTTCTCTTCTTTGATGTCATTTAATGTCAAGATAAAGTCATATCAGTTTCTGACGTTGCATCATTTAACAGAGCAAAGGACAGTGGTAGCAAGAACTTTTTTTTTCTAGGTCTTCAATAGATATAGGTGCAGTACCTGTGGAAACAGTTGCCAGGTTACATTTTTGCCAGGGTTGCTTCCCAGGCTAATGGCTACTGGCATTAAACTGGAAGCATCATGATTTCAAAGTATCTTGGGTTCAGGACACTGAACTGTCTCCATCAGAAGTTGAGAGGGAATGGTGGTCAAGGTGTCAGTGGCAGTTTAACTTATCTGGCACATGCTGCTTCCCATCTCTCTTTCAGGGCACTTTGCTTCTTCAGCTATGCGGGTTTGCCCTTCGTGTGGTAGTGTTAATAGTTGGTGGGGATAGTGGCCCCTTTTTTTTCTACTGAAGTTGCTTTCTTGGATAATAGCTAGGAGTATGGGCTAGATACCACTCCCAGGGCTCCTATGCTTATCAGCTTATACGTGTCAAGTGATAAGAAAAGTAGGCTCCTTCTCCATAATTATTTCTCCTCTCAATGATGGCTGTGGGTTTGGGATGGAAGCAAGTCAGTTGGTTTGATGGATATTGATAATTCCCAAGACTCTTAGGTTCAGGATCCTGGGCTATCTTCAGCAGGGTCTGAAGGGAGATGGTGATATAGATCGCGATTATGGTCAAACTGGTAATGGTGGTCTGATTTGCCTGGCACATGTTGTCTCTTGCCTTTCCTATTTCCTCAAATAGGCTGACTTGCCATTAATGCTATGTGTTTCCTTTCAAACTACATATATGAAAAAAGATTGAATGCTGAACCTACAATCAATGAGTCAGTCTGGGGAACAACTACATAACAGGAATATATTGGAACCAAATCTTTAGAATTATTTCTTGTTTAAACATACTTTGGGATTTGCAACCTCAGAGACATCTTTAACTCTTGCTCAAATATGTTATATTTCAGAATAAGCAATACATATTTCTAAGAACTGTATTCTTTTGTTTCAAATCTTATGCATTTTGAGTGAATATTTAAATATGAAACTGGTATCTTGCCAATGCTTTAGTCAGTAAATCCCTTTATTACCAGATTAGCTTAAACTGTATAGCTTGTTTGAAGTTCATTCATATCCTGAAAGAAATTTCACTTATTAAAGTTAAATAAAATCGATAGAGGCAGACTGCAACAGTGAAGAATGTGTTGGGTTTTTATTCAGAAAGACCTAGGTTCATATGCCACTTATGACACTTATGACATATTGAGCAAATCTCTTTTGAGTACTTTTCTCCTTTTCTTTCTTTAGAAACAAAAAATCATTTTATGGATTATTTCAACAAATGCTTCCCTCTATAAAACAACTTATTTAAAAAGCATGTCAATTGATGATTCTGACACTTCTTTGAGGAAGTCATTAGCATATTTTGATAATATTTTGAAGTTCAATTCCTGTTTTCTCTGGTATAAATAAGGTCTAAAGGATAGTAAATTATACATTGATTCCTCTAAAAAAGAATTCCACTTGTAGGAGCTCTTGATCTGGAGTCCATAAACTTTTAAACATATATGTGTGTGTATGCATGTATGTATATGTATGTATATATGTGTGTATATAGACACACATGCATACAATATATACATACATGTATATATACATATATGATAACTAAATGTAATTGGTTACCTTTGTGATCATATTTACTTTATTTCACCCATTTAAAAATTATTCCGAGAAGAGGGGATATAGGTTTTATCAGACCATGGCCAAAGTGGTACCACAACCCCAAATAAGAACCCATACATTATTGAGAGGATAAAGAATTTTAATTAACTTCATTTATTTTTAAAATTCAGTCTTGTCTAGAGGCGTGGTATAAACTATACAGGAGCAAAAGGACATAGCAAGCCTCACAGTTTTGTACAGGTGAATGGAAAAGTCATTTAGTCTATTATCCAAGAATTGAGTCCCAATCTCACTTTCATCAATAACTAGTTGAGTGAACTTTGGTGAGTCATTGAATCTTTATGACATAACAATTGGTTGCCTTAAAAACAAGTCGTATTAGACAAGATCTCATTTCTCTTCCAGTTCTAAGAATCTTGGTTTGTATATAACTATTTGGGTATATTCTAGTTTAGTTCTGTGGCCTTAGGTAGTCACTTTAATCACAAGTAATCTCCAACCATTAATTTCTAACTTGTTTTTTTTTAAATGGCTCTGTCTACCTCATTAGACTGTAATGAGGAAAAAATGAGAGACAAATTTGAAACATAAACAATAAACTAACCTACAAATGTAAGTATTAAATTATTTAAAATTAAGTAATAGTAATATATTTACATTACATCATAATTTATATGTTTGCTTTATTTTGTAGAATACCCATGGAAGGCTACAAAGACAAAATTTCTACAAGGTAAATTAACTTTTTTTGGCTTATTAAAATGGTTTACATAGAAAACTGCCTTTCTGAATTTCCCTTAAAAAAAGAAGCTGATTGTTATTCCAAGTGGCATTTGACCTTGAAACGACAGCAGAATTCTAAATTTAAACTAGTGCAAGGCATTTGATTACAAATTTAACAAATAAAATAAAGGCTTAGAAAAGACCTGGCTTCAAATTCTGCCTCAAATACCTATAAGTTATTTGTGCTGTTGTTCAGTGATATCTGACTTTCTATGATTCCATGTAAGGTTTTCTTGACAAAGATTCTGGAATTGTTTGCCTTTTCCTTCTCCAGCTCATTTTACAGATGAGGAACTGAGGCAAAAAAGGAGTAAGTGATTTGCCCAGGGTCACATAGCTAATAAGTACCTGTGGCCAGATCCAAACTTGGGAAGATGAGTCTTCCTGGTTCCCAGCTCAGTGCTCCATCCATTGTGCCACCTAGTTGCCCCAGGTATATGGCCTTGAACAAAACACTTAATATCTCTGAGCCTAAGTTTTCTCATCTTTAAAACGAGGATTCTAATCATGCCTTTAGTAGTTTCTTCCATAGAGTTGGCAGAAGGATCAATTAAGATCATTTATGTAAGTACTTTGTAAATTGTCAAGCACCATATAAATGCTAGCTATTGTCCACCCCTACCTGATAAACTACAATGTCTCACTATTATCTCCAAGATCAAACATAAAGCATAAAGTTTGAAGATGACCTTTAAAAGTTTTCAACTTGCCTCCTTCATACCTTTATTATTTTATTACATCTTACTCACCTTTAAATATTCTATAATCTAGTGACACTGGGATCCTTGCCCTTCATCTAACATGACACTCCATCTCCCAACTCAGGTCATTTTCTGTGCCTGTTTCTCCTGCCTGGAATCCTCTCACTCTATATCTCTGATTCCTGGCTTCCTTAGTTTTCTTTTTAAGAGCTTTAAAAGACAGAGGATGTTACATTTCACCTTGGGGAGTAATAGGGGGCTGCTACAGTTGATTCAATTGTGAGGCATAATCAGACTTGCACTTTAGGAAGATCATTTTGACAGCCAAGGGGAGTCTAGTCTCAACTAGAGAGAGACTAGAGGCCAAAAGACCAACCGATAGGCTATTGCAGTAATCTAGGTATGAGGCAATCAGGAATTACACCAGGATGGTGGCAGCATTAGACGAGTGAGGAGGGCATTTGGGAAACTAATTATGAAGAATATGGCAATTTCTTGGATGTGAGAGGACTGGGAGGGTGGCAAGAGTCACTATTTGAGGATGACAGCTAATTTGTGAGCCTCAGTGACAAGGTAGTGATACCCTCAATAATGGTAGGGAAATGAGTTACAGCTGTCCCCAGTTATAAATTTAGAATAGAGAAAAAGCCTGCTAATCATGGGGAAAAACGGAAGAGAGGAGGTTGGGAGCTGAAAAAATTGTTCACTTTGGGACATATTAAGTTTAATATATCTATGAGGAGAAGCAGAGTTAGAGAGAGAATGCCAGCTGTAATCTCCCAACATTGCCCTCCAAACAACTTTAAAATAATGCATCAAAACAAATTCTGGAACAGCAGAATCAGCAAAAGATCAGGGTGAAATTTTTTTTTTCTTAATCCAAGACTACTTAGGAGGTCAGAAGAAGAGGTCTATGACACTGGGTTGGGGACTGTCCTGAAGAGCGATGTAGCAGCAACACCAGCTGTAGTCCTTGGAGGCTGCAGCAAGCAATAGTTCATGGAGCTCTTACCATCCAGAGGTGGTAAAAGGATTGGACCTTTGTTCATAAAAAGATTACAGGGGACTTCTGTATAGCCACTGGGTACAGGACTGGGTGCACCTTAGCAACTCATTACCCAGTTCCAGATGGCAGTTCCAGGGTAGAGAGGAGTGCTTTCAGTAACAAGGGAGCAAGGGCTCTACTCTCAGTTCTGGGTGGAGAGAACAGAGGCCCTAGTTCCTGCTAGCAGTTTCAGGGAAGAGGAAGGTTTGCTAGTACTTGAGGTCCAAGAAAGCAGGGCCCTTTTGTTTTCACTTGCTGGGCAAAAAAGCCTGAAGCTTGGGATAGTTCCTCTTCCCTCCCCCAACTCTAATATAAGGTTAAAAGTAAAGAAAAAGGCTAAAAAAATAAGAAGGAAAAAGGAGTTGGGATTACAATAAAGAATAAACTACCCAGCAAAAGTAAATATACTTTTTCAGGGGGAAAAATGGACACAATGAAATAGAGTCTTTCAAGCATTCTTAATGAAAAGAATCCAATAATATACTATTTATGAGAAATATACTTGAAAAAGAAAGACATATACAAACTTAAAATAAGAGCTTGGAGCAGAATCCATTATACTTTAGATGAAGTAAAGCAGGCAGGAATCACAGTCTCGAACACAGCCAGAGTAAAAATAAGTCTAATTAAAAAAGATTATCAGGGGAACTACATTTTGGTAAAAAGCACCACAGATAATGAAGTTATCTATATTAAACATATATGCACCAAATGGCATGGCATCCAAATTCTTAAACGAATAGTTAAATGAGTTATAGGAAGAAATAGAGAGTAAAACTACTAGTGGTGGTTGCAACTTATTCCTCTCAGAACTAGATAACTCTAACCATAAAATAAATAGGAAACTTAAGGAGGTGAAGGGAATTTTAGAAAATTTAAGTATGATAGACCTCTGGAGAAAAATAAATAGGAATAGAAAGAAATATACCTATTTCTCAGCTGTACATGGTGCCTTCACAGAAAGTGACAATGTATTAAGGCATGAAAACCTCACAAACAAATATAGAAAAGCAGAAATATTAAATATAATCTTTTCTAACCATAATAAAATAAAAATCAATAAAAGGCTGTAGGAGAGAATAAAATTAATTGGAAACTAAATAATCTAATTTTAAAGAATGAGTGGGCAAAAGAAAAAAATCATAGAAACAATAAAAAATTTCAATAAAGAGAATGACAACAGAGTCAATAAAGCAAAATTTGTCAAATGCAGTCAAAGCAATACTTAGGGGCAAATTTATATCTAAACATGTAATTCATTAAAAGAGAGAAAGAGAACATCAAATAATTGGGCATGCAACTTAAAAGAAAACTAGAAAAAAAACAAATTTAAATCTCTCTATTAAAAAACAACAAACAAATCCTGAAAATCAAATGAGACATTAATAAAATTGATAGCACGAAAACTCCATTGGACTAATAATGTATGAGGTAGCTCAGGGCTAGGGACCCTGTGGCCTAGATGCCACATTTGACCCTCTAGGTCCTCAAATGTGACCCTTTGACTGAATCCAAACTTCGCAGAACAAATCCCCTTAATAAAAGGATTTAATTTGTAAAACTTAAACTCAATCAAAAGGCTACATTCAAGGATCTAGAAGGCCACATGTGGCCTCAAAACTTCAGGTTCCCTACCCTTGAGCTAGTTTTATTTAAAAAAAAACAGTAAAAATATAAACCATTGTTTAATTTGACTTTTACAAAAGAAAACCAAATTACCAATATCAAAAATATAAAGTGAACCACTAATGAAGGTAAAATTAAAGTAATTATTAGGAGCTATTTTGCCTAATTATACACCAACAAAACTAATAACCTAAATGAAATGAATGAAAATTTACCATAATATATTGCACATATTAACAGAGGAGGTACTAGAATACTTAAATAACCCTAACCTAAAAATCTTCAGGAACAGACGGATTTAAAAGTTAATTCTACCATATATTTAAAGAGCAATTAATTCTAAGAATATGTAAATTATTTGAAAAAAATAGATAAAGAAGGAATGCTACTAATTTCCTTGTATGAAACAATTAATTTTGATACATAAAACAAGGATAGCAAAAATAGATGAAAAAGTTGTACATCAATTTTTCAAATAAATATTGATGGAGAAATTTTAAATTAAATACTAGAAAGTAGACTACAGCAATATGCCACAAAGACCATATATTATGACCAGGTGAGATTTGTATCAGCAATGCAGGATTGGTTCAATATGAGGAAAACTGTAAGTATAATTGACCGTATCAATTACAAAAACAACAAAAATCATATGATCATATCAATAGATACAGAAAAATCTTTTCACAAAATACAACACCTATTCCTATTAAAATCACTGAAAAATGAGAATAAATGGAGATTTAAAAAAATAAGTAGTATGTATTTATACCAAGAGCAATCGTTATGTATAATTGAGATCAACTAGAAACCTTCCCAATAAGATCAGGGGTGAAACAAGCATGTCCTCTATCACCATCATCATTCAATATTGTACTACAAATACTATCTATAGCAATAAGATAAAAAAAAATGAAGAAAAGAAATTGAAGGAATAAGCATCTGCAATAGGGAAACAAAACTATTGCTCTTTGCAGATGATACCATCAGGTATACTGAGAGAACCCTAGAGAACCAGCTAAAAAACTAATCAAAATAATTAACAACTTTAGTAAAGCTACAGAATATAAAATAAACCCACATAAAACATCAGCATTTCTATATATTGCCCCCCAAACAGTAGAAAGAGATAGAAAGAGAAATTCCATTTAAAATAACTGCAGACCATAGGAATTCTTTGGAGTCTACTAGACAATACACATCCAGTAACTCTAGGAACACACACACACACACACAAAAACCCCAAACACTTTTTCACATAAAGACAAATCTAAACAATTGGAAAAATATTAATTTCTTATGGATAGAGCAAGTCAATATAACAAAAATGACAATTATACCTAAATTCATTTACTTATTTAGTGCCATATTAATTAAACTACCAAATAATTATTTTGTAGAGATAAAAAAAAAACAATAACAATTCATCTGGAAAAGCAAAAGTTCAAGAATATCAAGGGAATCAAAAAAAAAATGAAGGAAGATGAATAGCAGTACCAGATTTCAAACTATGCTACAAAGAAAAAGGGGAAGAATAAGGAAAAGATAAAGGAAGAAAGAAAGAGAAGAAAGATGGAAAGAAATGAAGAGAGAGAAAAGAAAGAAGGGGCAGAAGAGAGAGAAAGAGATAAATGTATACAGAAAGAACTGATGGAATTACATGGTGACTAAAACCAGATACTTTTAGTCAGATAATTGTTTCAGTATCCCATTCATTCTGTGTTGAGATAAACAAAGCCAGAAATTCAGATTCCTTGACTCCTGCTTTGATAATCAGTGGGCCTGCCTACTTTGGATAACAAAATTGATACCACTGCAATTTAGCTATTGCTCAGTACCTCAGGGAAACTCTGCTGTCCCTACAGTCCTGTGCTTCTACCTGAAGCTCAGTCAGGTACCAGGACAGTAAAGGTTTTACATGTACATACATACATACATACATACATACATACATAGATATAGATATATATAGATATAGATATATAGATATATAGATATATACACACACACGTATATATATACATACACACATACATACATAGATATATTTGTGTGTGTATGTAAGTATGTATACATGTATGTATGTGTATGTATACACACACACACACACATATATGTGTGTGTGTGTGTGTGTGTGTGTATCTCTGGCATAGTCATGTATCAGATTTTATCTGATAAATGCAGTTATGGGAACTCCTGCCTATTCCGACTCATTCATTCCCTCCACAGTGTTCTTAATAAATATCAGACACACTAGTGTTTCATGAGGTGCAAACTCCTCCCACTTTATCCTTTCCATTACAGACTGCTATTAATGTTCTAATACAAACCAGCATTCTAAGTATCTTCACAAATTATCAAAGTTATAATGGAAAAGGAGTTGCTGAATCATGCACTCAGTAATATCTCCCAAAGAAAAGCCTGCCTATATTTTCTTCCCTCTCTCCACCTTAATATGCCATATATTAAGTATAAGTTTCATATTATAAAAATCTGGTAAAATGCTGCCTAGACTAATGGGCAAAAGGACAAAATAAAAATAGAGTTCAAGAATAGAGTATGAAGGGGGTCAATCAGCCAGATAATTTTCCATCTGTAATTTTTCTTCTATCAACATATTCTCTTCTACCAATGTTAGGAAATTGCATAGCAGAATATCCAATACCTATATCAATATAACCCTAAATAATTTGTTTCTTAAATCAATTTACATTTTTTCAGGATGAAGACAAATTGATTTGATATAACAAGTTTGAATCTGGCCATATTGGCAATCTAAATACATATGTAAATTGGTGTTCTGAATAACTACAAACATGCAATATATGTATTTGTCAATATGTGCACATATGACCATATAGAAAGCTACATATGCACATGTGTATTTATGAAGACACACCCAATTGTTTGTGTCTGTGTATGTGTATACACTACATCTGGAAGAAGACTTAGAGAAAGTGATAGAGATATAGTTGAAACAGTAATGTAGTCAGAAGACTTGGCTTTGGATTTGAATACTTATTTCCAGCACGATCTTGAACACATCATTTCTCTTCCCTGGGATTTAGGATATTCATCTATAAAATGAGAAGGTTGGAATAGATGAGATCTATGGGGGTCTTAATCTACAGTTCCTTCACTTTACAGATGCAGAAAATGAAGCCCAGAAGTGCTAATTATCCAGGTTACACAGCTACTTTGGTAATAACTAAAATTGGAAACCAGGTCTGATGCCTTATCCAATGTTGTTCTACATTGGGCCTATAAACCTGAAGGTGTTACCCCAAAAGAGAGGACCATTTCAAGTTCACTACAGTCAGAATTCAGAACTAGATATGCAAAGTTAAATTATATTTTCAACTCTGAAATTTTATTATTTTTACTACAAACTTCTTATACTTTGAAATGTTCTTGCCCTTTTGAATCCTAACTCAAAATTAGTGATGTTATAAATAAATCCAATGCTTTTATTATCATCATCGTCATTCTAGAAAAGCCTGAAATCTGCTTTTTGGAACAAGATTCTGGAATTTGTCGAGGATTACTTCCCAGGTATTTCTATAATAATCAATCAAAACAGTGTGAACCTTTCAAGTATGGCGGGTGCCTAGGCAATGCCAACAACTTTGAATCTTTGGAAGAATGCAAGGATCTCTGTGAGGATGGATGTAAGTTGATTTTATATTTTGCTATATTTTATTTTTAAATATATTGAAGGCATCTGGCATAAATCAAAAACGATTTCATAAGACTCCCATTTCTTGTCTACCTATGCCAATAAGTTTGGGCAAAAGCTTATCTTGAATAAATTAGGGCCTATCAAAAATCTTCAGTGGATCCATATTGTTTTCAGGAAAAAATAGAAACTCTTCAGTCTGGTATTTAAAAATCTCAATAATATGACTCCCACTTACCTTTCCAGTCTAATTTCATATTACTTTATTTCACACACTGTTTATTCCAGTCAAAGTAGGCTGATGTTTATTCCTTATTTGTATCATTATGTCTTCTGCCTCCAAGTCTTGGATCAGGTAGTTCCCCATGTCTCCCTCCTTATCTTTACCATTTAAAATTCCTAGCTTCTTTCCAAGGACAATGCAGGTACCACTTCCAATAAAAGGTCCTTCCTTCTTATTTACTTAATTATTTAATTAACAATTTATTTTGGCTAGGCAATGGGGTTAAGTGACTTGCCCAGGTTCGCACAGCTAGTAAGTGTTATGTGTCTAAGGCCGGATTTGAACGCAGGTCCTCCTGAATCCAAGGCCAGTGCTCTATCCACTGTGCAACCTAGCTTTCTCTATTAATTTATTTTAAACTTAAATACTAAAATTTAAATACACAATAAGAAAAGAAAAAGAAAAATATTATAAACTTAAATACTAAAAAAATGCAAAATAAGAAGGGAAAAAAAGCATTTCCATGTGCACAGCAGAACATAAAAGAGGATTCAAAATATACAGCAATAAATTTCCATTTCAAAAAAGCCTATACAATAACTCTGAATACAGTGTGTTCAGAGCTGCCCATCTTTTCTTTGCTTTCTTGTAAGTTTTCTTTTGTTCTCTGCTATGCATTTTTTGCTTAGTTTTTTTTCCCCTCCTTCCTCCCCCCAGAAGGCTACAATTAAGCATGAATACACACATATATGCATATATATACGCACAATACATATATACACATATACACAGAAACATATAGATACATGCATATACACATACATACATGTACTCACATATACTTGGATATCTATAATCATACTCACATATAGATCAATACATTCATATGCATCTATATAAGACTGTACTATACTTATTTCTCCTCTTGTTTGTCTGAGAATGGTTAACATCCTCCTTCATAAGTCCAGGCCTTTCCATATTTTTCTAAGTCCACCAACTCCTCATTTCCTATACCACACCAGTAGTCCAACCTTATACTGTCTAGTTATTTTAAATAGTCTAAAACAATATTGATTAATAGGGTTGATATATAGTATAGTTTCCCTATTTTTCTCCTTTGATTTTCTATTTTAGCTTTAACTTTGTCTGAGATCATGATTACTACACCTGCTTTTTTTGCTCTAATGAATTCTATTCCTAATCTTTTTTATGTTTGTATTTCTTGTTTCCGATCCCTCCTGACTTCTCTATTTTACTTCTATCCACTATCTTGCCCTCCAATGACTTAATCTACCTCACTCTGTCAAAGATCTTCTCTTGTCCTCTCCACCCCACCCTTTCCTCTTATCCTTTTGTTTCTATCTGAATTTAGAAAACTTTTTTTTGCTTTCCAAATATATATGTTATTCCATCTTTATTCCATTCCTCTTAATTTAGAGACTTTTCTGTACCCCACCTTAACCTCACCATCTTATTTCTTTATAAATTTAAAAGACTTATTCCCTTCCATATATATATATATATTTTTTTTCTCTCTCTCTCTTTAACCCACATCTGATGTGAGTACGGTTCCCTCTAAAAATCCCTCCCTTATCCTCTCCCCTGTCCCTATCCTCTTAGCCTTTTATTTCTTTCTGAATTTAGAAGATTTTCATACCATTCTAGATATATGTGTATTATTCCATCTATAACCCATTCCCAATGAGAGTAGGGTTCCAGAACTACCAGCACCCCCACCCCCATCTAGTTCCTCTTTGTCAGTTCTTCCTCTCACATCTCATCTACATAAGATAATAACTCTTTTCACCTTTTCCTAAACAGTTTACTTTTTAGAATCACGTCATACTCAGATCTACTCCAGTCTTTCTTTCAAAGTACCCAATAATTAATAACAATCTTTGACATACATTTTACATTTCCTCATATAAAAAGTAAACTGCCTGTCCTTATTCAGTCTTTTGTAAATAGTTTTTCATGTGTACCTTATATTTCTCTTGGATTTTGAATGTCAAATTTTCTATTAAGTTCAGGGTATTTTTGGTAACAAAATCCTAAAAGTCTGGCAACTCATTGAATATCTTTTTTTTTTCCCATTCAAGATTATGCTTAACTTTGCTGGGTATGATATTTTTGAGTATAACCCCAGTTCTTTTGCTCTTCCATATACAGTGTTCCAAGACCTGCAGTCTTTTAGTGTCACCACTGCTATTTCTTGTCTGATTCTAATTATGGCTCTGCCATGTGTGAGTTTTTTGTTTTGTTCTTGTTGCCCATAACACTTTCTCCTTGAGCTGGGGGTTTCAAAATTTCTCATAATATCTCTTTCAGGAGGTGATTGGTGGATTTTTGTTTCTATTTCTACTGTCCCCTCTTGTGCTTTTTATCCCCTTCAATCTATCTTAATTGATTTTTAAAGTCTTTTTAGGTTCTTCTATGAAATCTCTTTGGGCATGTGACCATTTGATGTTACTCTTTGGGGTAGAAGAGGCTTTTTTTGCTTCACTACCCTCCTCTAAAGAGAAACCCCAGTCTTCTCTATTCCTATAGTAACTTTCTATACTTAGGTTCATTCCCCTTTGCCTGCTCATTTTTTTTTATTTGTAGCAGTTTATTATTGCAATCACTTCTAGTCACGGAGTGTGGAGATAGGGCCTCTGGCCTCAAATTCTCCTTCAGTACTCCCTTCTGGCCTGGAACTGAAACCAAGAACTCTGTCCTCCTATAAGTGCCCACAGCCAGCAGTGTCCCTGCTCCTATACTTCTGCATTCACCAGGACTGTGCTGATTCCTTCTTGCCCAGGCCAAATCTCCACAGCACAGCTAGGCCTGTCATCCCTTATCACCATAGGCTCCCTCAATCTTCCCCCATTCAGACACCCAGCTCCCTACACTGCCTGGGAGGTGCAAATTCCTGTGTCTGGGGCAGAAGTTACCTCCCAACCCAGCTAGCCCCAGGGCTTTCCACTTACTGTTTCAATGGAACTAACTTGGGGTGTTTAGACTTCACTAGGACCAAACCTCAGTCTTGGGATTTTTCTCCATATCTCCAATTGTCCCAGAACTACTGTTCTACCCCACCTCTTGTTTATTTTCACTACTCTACATTTGTCCTGAGGCACTATTTTGTCTTCTTTGTGGGAGAAATCTGGAGAACTCAGAATTTTCTGACCTACTTCATCTTCTCAGAATTTTCTGACCTATTTCATCTTCCCAGAATCTTCCAAAAGGTCTTTCTTAATCTCCCAATTGTCTCACTCCTTCTTGAAATCAATTTGCATAAGTTTGTATATACTTTATTTTCACTTAACTCTGAATGTTTTGTCCCCTACATAAATTGTAAACTTTTTGAGCTTATATAGTGTTGTAAGTGTGTCCTTGTATACAAACACCTAGCACAGTACCCTATATAAAATAACTGCTTATTAAATATTAGTTAAATTGTCCCCATGATATTTGTAGTGTATATTTATAGGTTACTGACAATTATTGAGTCAGATGAAACAACATAAAGCTGTGTTAACAAGAAGTTTATAATATAGGGTCATCAATTTAGAGGTAGAAAGAACCTAGAAGGTCAACTGGTTAACTAGTCCTCATTTACCTATAAGGCAACTCAGTCACAGAAAATTTTAGTGACTTGCTCTGAGATCTGAATAAAGAAGTTTTCAAGCAAAAACAAACAAACAAACAAACATTAAACACACCTGGGTATTTACTTCTCATTACTGCTATGAATTTCTTATTTTATACTTACGTTGGTAAGCCGAAATGATGAATAACCTTTTATTCATGTGTGGAATTTTCCTAGTGGATACAGAGCAAGTAGATCATGGTGAAAAAGTAGCTGTTAAAGAAAACAATAACTCCTCAACAACCAAGCCAACTGAAGTTAGAAAACTTTTTGGTAAGCATCTGCTGCTGAGTTTTTTGCTAGTACTAGAAATTATAAAAGTAAAAAGATTTCAAAATAAAATCATAGATGGCTAAGGAAATTGCTTTCAATTACTACATGTAATTATTCATCTCCTCCAAATAACCTGGCATATGGTGCCTTTCACTAAAGTAAGGACTTAATGTTTGTTGAACTTGTTAATGTAAATTGAATTTTAAATTAAAGCAATTCTTTCTTTTTTTTTTAATTTCATTAATTTATTTTGATTTATCAACAATCAGTTCCACATGCTTTTGAGTTAAAAATTTTTCTCCCCCTTCCTCCCCCCACCCTCCCCAAGACAGTGCACAATCTGATATAGGCTTTATATTTACATACCCATTAAACATATTTTCACATTAGTGAAGTTGTAAGTAAAAATTAAAACCAATAGGAGGAACCATCAGAAAGATGAAACAAAACTCAACAGAAGGTAGTAATAAGTGATAATGATTCGACTTCCATAGTTCTTTCTTTGGATGTGGACAGCATTTTCCAACCCGAGGCCTCTGGAGATGTCTTAGATCCTCGTAATGCTGAGAAGGGTTCAGTTTAACAATCTTAGTCATTGCATAACGTGGCTGTTATTGTGTACAAAGTCCTCTTGGTTTTGCTCACTTCACTCAGCACCAGACTATATAAGTCTTTCTAGGTTTTTCTGAAGTCAGCCTATTCCTCATTTCTTATAGCATAATAGTATTCCATTACATTCATATACCACAACTTGCTCAGCCATTCCCCAATGGATGGGCATCCTCTCAGTTTCCAATTCTTTGCCACCACAAAAAGAGCTGCTATGAATATTTTTGTACATGTGGGTCCTTTTCCCATTTGTTTTATCTCTTTGGGATATAGCCCTAGAAGTGTAAAGCAATTCTTTCATTTTCTTGTTGATTGGATTATAAAACTATTTTTTATTGTGTATTGGTGCTTCTAAACCAATGTTTTTCTCCCTAAATGATTCTGTCCCTTTTAAAAAATATTCACAATGAAATTGGAGGATTATGGTATATCCATCCCATTTAACCTCCCTTGACTGGAAAAAAAAAAAGAATAATCTACCTGTGATGAATCTTTTGGTATACTATTGTTTCTTACGTTTCATTTTGGGGCAACATCTCCACTAACTAGATGCAAAAAGGAGAGGAAGATATGTCTCATCCTAAAAAGTAGTAGAAAATAGGAGAAGAAAAGAGATGGAAAGGCCTTGTCTTTTTTTTTTTAATTCCTTTTTACTTGGGCTCTGAATTATTTAGACCTTTGCCAGCAAACTGTGGTTCCTTAGTAATAAATAATTCATTGTTTAGTACTAGAAGATAAAGGATGCATTACACATAGGTATATGGTTATTACCAATAGGTTAGATATGTCTCAGTTTAGAACATAGAACTTTTTTATGAAGTATTAAAGCATATCTCTAAGTCATACCCTGGCATTCAGACACATTAGACAATATATTACCCCTTTCTCTAAGGTATTTTGCTATTTTGTTTCTCAGGGAGTAATAATCTACCCAATGAGCATAAATTGGATAACATTCTTCTTGAAATGACTCCAAAAAGTATTAAACACCTAGAAGTGAATTTAAATACTTTTTAATTCATTGGGGCAAAGGCAAGGAAGGAGAATTTTTAAGTCTTTCCTTGAGGTACAACAGTATAAAGTATTTTAAATGTTATCAGAATATATTTGTAGCTAATTTGTTGAAAATACTTTTTTTTCTTTTTTTTGGCTAGGCAGTAGGGTTAAGTGACTTGCCCAGGGTCACACAGCTAGTAAGTGTTATGTGTCTGAGACTGGATTTGAACTCAGGTCCTCCTGAATCCAGGGCCGGTGCTCTATCCAGTGCACCACCTAACTGCCCCTGAAAATACTTTTTAATTGGCCTAAGTTTTTGGATTCTATCATTGGTAAAATGGTCTGATCTATAAAATTTTAAAAACAACAACAACATACTTTTCTTGCTAAGTAGCCCACGAGACAAAAACTACATGAAAAGCCTATTTATTTCTACACAAATGGAAGACTGATGCTTTTCCCTGTAGGATTTATAGGGTTCCTATTTTAATGGGCCATGGCAATTACACCAAATATTGTTCTGTACTCTCCCTTTTGGGCTAAGAAACATTTGATCTGTATATTCAGTGCGGAAATAAAGAACATGAGCTATGCTCTCCTAATCCCTTCTTCTCAGCCCATCCCTGAAGTTGTTTCCTTGCCTAGTGAGACAACAGGATATCCAGGTAGTCTGTGCAACTATATTTGTTTGTTCTGGGGGAGGAGAGGGAGTTTGTATGTGTGTATGCATTTTGGGTTCTTTTTTTTTTCTGTACAGGATGTGAGAGGGAAACATTCTGAAATCATTTCCCTAAACGTAGGTTGATTGCTACAAAAAGTACAAAATGGGAAATCTTACAACTATGCCATAGCAGTCCCTTCCTTTTAGTATTCCAGCATATAACTTTTTTTATGTTTGTATAGTAACACCATGCCTGTGTATGCAAACAAGTTTGATTTTTTGACCATTATTGAAATAAATAGCTATTTGCACCATTCAGACCAATCCATAGAAAAGTTACCATATGTATAAGGCTGTGTGTTCTTAAAAAAAATCATCCTTCACTCATCTTACAATATCTATGTGATAGCTAAACTGTAGATCAAAGAAAAGGGAACTTTTGACACTGAAATGATTTAATTAACTATTGACAATATGGTTATGTAGAGCTTTCATTTAATTTTGAAATTAGGAATTGCATTTTAGCCATATTTTATTATTCTCTACTTACATGTCCATCAAAAATACTACTGTGCTGCTAATCATACATTCTTGATATTTTGAGATACTATTTTGTCCTGTCCCTATCCTTAAAATCTATGCCAAGCCACTCACCCCCATTTTTTTTTTGGTTCCTCCTAAATGCTTCCAAACTTGCTTCCTTTAAATTTCTACTTTCACTGCTCTAATTCATATCTTCATTATTCTGATACTTGGATTGCTGCATTAGCATTCTGGCTGATCTTCTTAACTTTAGTTTTTCTCTTTCCAGTTCATCCTGGACACTGCCCTATAAATGATCATAAACACTGCTTTCATTTAGCCATCCTTCTGCTCAAAATCTTTCAATGACACCCTATTTTCTAGTGCATTACAAAAAAAGGTCTTTGCCTGGCTTTCAAGTTGCTCTATAATCTTATAACAAACTTTATAAACAAACAAACAAACTTATAACAAACTTTATTTCTATTTTCCCAAAACCACCTGCCATCCAGTCCCTTCATAAACTTATGACCTTGTTCATTACTATCTCCATGCCTTCAATCATGCTATTACAATCAAGTGAAATGTCTTTCTCCGACTATTCCCCATTCAAATACTGACCATTCTTTCAATATATAATTCCAGGACTACTTCTTCCTCGAAATCTTCCTTCACTGCTGCCGCTCTCACTATTTCTCTCTCATCTGATCTTTTATAAAATGAATAATTTGTACCCCATTAACTGCTGTGTAATCATGTAATATCTTGTTTTTACTTGCTACTTTTTTAATGATTGTTAATATTGTTGCCCCAATTGGACTGAGATTCATTCAGGGCAGAGACTTCATCTATCTTTTTTTTAACTGTATCCTCTGCATTTACTGAATAGGCATTCAGCAAATCTTGATTGATTTTGTGATTCACAGTTAAAATAAAGACATCAAATGATGGTTGGAAGAACGCTGATCACTTTTACCAAGTCTTTCTGATGGCCTTCTGCAGTTGCATACAATTATTCTTCTTAGGAATCATATAAAATCCTAGAGTTTGAAGGGACCTAAATGGATAGAAATCCCCCTATTCTATCCAATACAAGACCTTCTCTGGAATGTCCTCTTGCTGCCTCTTCTTGAGCATCTTCATTGAAAGGAAAGTAACTACCTCATGAGGAACCCAATTCAATTGCAGACATTTCTACTCAACAGAACAATTGGGTGGTAGTTTATGGACACACAAAAGTCCATGTTTTCAGTATTTTCTTTGTCCTTAATAGAGCAAAGTTAATGTATTTCTAGTATTGTCTCATTAATAAAGTTTCAATATTTGCTAACATATGAATATATTTCATTCATTTGTGTCCCATATTAGCCAAGCATATACCCTGAATTAACAGTGATTCTATGAAACTAGATAGTGCTGGGACTGGATATTTATAAAGATTATTTGAATTGCTGCAACATATCTGTGGTAGGAGAAGTATTCGGAGTAAAGGACATGCAATCTGGTTTTGGCTCTGATACTTATTAGCCATGTAACTAAATATATGTGGCTTTACACTTTTAAATTTTGGTTTATCCATCTTGACAATGAGGGTAATAAAACCTGCATCATCTGCCATAAAGGGCTGTTGTAAGCAAAGTACTTTGTAAGGCTGAGAGTATTTTATAATAATTATTACAATAAAAATAACTAACATTTACGTAACATAGCACTTAACATTATGAGTATTTTCTCATTTGATCCTCACAACAATCCTGTAAGAGAGCAGTGATTATTATACCCATTTTGCAGATGAAGAACTAACTGAGCTGAGAAAGGTTAAGTAACTTGCCCAGGGCCACAAAACAAGAACCTGAAGTTTGAACACAGTCCTTCCTGACTTTGAGTCCATTGCTCTCTTTATACGTCAAACTGCCTTTCTATATAAACTGTATATCTATTTTTTTCTTTATATCTATGTATGGTGTTTTGATAATGATATTTTTGTTGTTGCTATTAAGGAATTAAGGAGAATGTCTCATACAAGTAATTTGGAAATAAATTAATTGGGAAGTGACCTAATTCAGAAATTGTTATAGCATACACTTCAATGAACATATATGCTGTTTCTGTGTATATATCCATAGGTGTTCATTCAAAATCCATGTATAAGATAACATTAATGTTTTTATTACATATTAATGTTCCTTCCCTCCTCAACCCTTTGCAGTATTGGCTCATACCTTACCACTTAAGTGAAACTGCTCTCTCCAAAGTTCCCAATGATTTCTTAATTGCCAGATCTAATGGTCTTTTCTCAACTCTCGTCCTTCTTAATCTATCCACCGCATTTGACACTGGTGATTTACCTTTTCTTCCTGGATACTCTCTCTTCTCTGAGTTTTTATGACACTTCTTGGTTCTTCTCATATCTCTCTGATCACTCCTCAGTCTCCTTTGCTGGCTTATTATCTGTGATGATTAAAAAAATGGGGTACATGACCTGTGTTACCAAATCTTGGTCAAAGAGACATCAATCTCCATATCACCTGTCTGACAAAAAGGAGGATTCACATTTCCTCAGACCTGTCTAAGCAAATACAATGAGCAGCAATACACCCATTAGCCCAAACTTAAGACTTCTTTTACTACCTGATTAGATCTTGGCCTGGGTAAATCTCTAAAAGAAAGAAACCACACTGGTTGAATTCTGGATAAAGAAGTGGAAAAGGGGGAAAACCTTGGTCCTAATACAATAATTAGTTATTAAATACAAGAGAGAAACATTCATTTATCACACATCTGTATTATATGCCCCTTTCACTGTGGATTTGCCCCAAATTAGGCCTTCTTCTCTTTTTCCTCTGTACTTTGGGAAAATTCATCAGCTCTCATGGATTTAATTATCATCTCCATGCCAACGACTCATAATTCTATGTATCCAGTCAAATTTGTCTCCTGAGCTTAAGTCTTTAATTACCAGCTGTGTTGGACATTTCAAACTGGATTTCCTGGAGATATCTCAAACTCAACATGTCCAAAAGCCTTTGTCTTTCCCCAAAGCCTTTACATCTTCTAACTTTCCCTATTTCTGTTGAAGACACCAACATCATTCCAGCCTCCCTGGTTCATAACTTCAGCATAGTCCTCCACTCCTCATTGTACCTCACCCTATGTATTCAACCAAGTCACAAAGTTTGCAATTTCTACCTATACAGCATTTCTCACATCTAACCCCTTCTCTCTAATATCACAGCTAATATCTAAATGTAGGCTGCTAGGTGCCACGGTTGATAGAAGACTGGATTTGGAATCAGGAAGAAAGACCTGAATTTGAATCCTGTCATTAGATACTTACTGACTGTGTGACCTTAGACAAGTTATTTAACCACTCAGCCTTAGTTTCTTCATCTTTAAAATGGTAATGATAAGAATAATCATCTACTTCTCAGAATGATTGTGAAAATCAAATGAAATGAATAAATGAGATAAAGATTAAAGTATTTTTAAGCACTGGCTTTGTTCAAAGCATAGTGCTAAGAGCTGGAGATACAAGTAGAAAAGTAAGTCATTTCCTACTCTCAAGATTTCATGTTATCATAGGGGTTTGTGAAACTCAAAATACAATAAAAATGCTAGGTATTATTCAGGATCTCATTACCTTTTGCCTGTATTATTGCAAAGTATTATTTAAACTGATCTCCTTGTCCCAAGTCTTTAAGTATTCCATCAACACTGCTTCACGCTGCTGTCAAATTAATCTTCCTTAAGTGGAGATCTAACCATTTGGCTCTCCTGGTCAATCAACTTCAATCATCTTTTTTTGCCTCTAGAATAAAATATGAACTCCTTTGTCTAGCTTTTAAAGCCCTTCCTGAACTTTATTCAACCTATCTTTCTAGATTCTATCAATATCACTTCATCTCCCACCCTCTGTAAACTAACCAAACTGGCTGTGTGTCTTTTCCTCATAAAAGATACCCCACTTCCTTTGTACTGGTCATCCCACTTGCTTAGAGTACATTCCTTTCTTATTCCACTTCATAGCATCCTTTCTTCTTTTAAGATGCAGCTCGAGCAAAGACCTTCCCTGGTCCTTCCCCGTAACTGCTAGTGACTTCCCTCTCAAATTATCATGTGTTTAACGACTTTGTATTTGTGTGTGCATATACCCATACACACACACACAAATAAATTCTGTTGATGAAGACTGCAAATAACATATATAATTTATATCTACATATGTGTGCATATGTATATATTAATCTGTACACATGTGTATATGTATATACACATATACATGTATATATATAATATAATCTATTTATATATACATGTATGTATATATTATACATATGTATGTTTATACACACAGATACATACAAAACAGTTAAATATACTATATATAGAAATAATATAAAAATATACATACAAATAATACATAATAAAATGATTATATATAGTATATTATATAAATAATATATGAACACTTTATATATACATACATATACATACACACATATAGCTACACGTATACAAGTATATATGTATTTGTTGTCTTCTCCATTAGAATGCAAACTCTTTTATGATAGGAATTATTTCATTACTTGTACTTGTATCTTCAATGCCTACCACAATGCCTGGCATAAAATAGGCACTTAACAAATGTTTTGTCATTGACTGATCAATTCAAGTGTCCACTTATTGACAATAGGCATAATTGGCAAATGTCCTTTTCTGGTAATATATAGTTTATTCTGACAGAAATACTTCTGAATATGCTAACTAGTTCTTAAGTGTATTTGGAGGGAAATGTATCTATGTGTATGTGCATACAAAAATCAACTAATGTTCTTAGCAAGGAAGAATAATGTCAAAAGTCATGAATTTTCCTTCTGTTTGCATTTGTATCAAACATGACAGTTGTAAGACCTCAATTTAATCATGCTTTTACTCAAATAGTATTATTTTTCTTTGGGTGAACTACCTAATATGAAATGTAAGTCCAATTTCATTTCCTAAGGACCCTAATTGAGAAGTAAAGTGATGAAATGGATGGAAAGGAATGCTGGGCAAGGGAAATCAGAAAGATCTGACATTGACACTACTAGCTAAGTGACCCTGAACAATTCACTTAGTCTCTTAGTGTCTAAGCCATCTCTATATGTTTCAGAGAAGTTGCCAATTGTGTTGTTAGAGTAAATTATGCATTGGAAATGCTGTAAACTGAAAAAATCATAGGCCTAGCCTCCCCAAAAAAACAACCTCCAAAACTCAAAAGATAATCAGTTTTTAGAAATTTGTAAATAAATAAACTAAAAGACTAGGGACATTATTTGCTAAGTGTTCTTCCCTACTGCAAATATTAGCACTTGGTGGTCATAACCCTTATTACCATCATTTGTAAAGCTTCCTAAGATCCACTATAAAAGTAGACTTCAGTGTTTTTTCTAAACTAACAAGACCCCCCCCCAAGAAAAGAGAGGTTTTTTTTTTTCAATTCTGTACTAAAAGGTAACATTACTGTGTGCTTCATTGCCATCCACTGAAGTAGATACAGAAATTTGGAACCTTAGCTGTGCCTCTATAGGTGAGGCTGGAGTCCTGGCATCAAAGCAGATTGGAAAGCTTTCTCACCAACACTCAACAAAGCCGTCCTGCTGAGCATGAAGCAGGGGAATTATTTCCAGCTGAAAGAACATCACCAACTCTCCGAAAGGATGCTGTCCTCTGAATTGATTTTTTTTTTATCACTTTAAAGGAGTACAGAAAAAATGTTAATTTTCACCTTTGGGTATGGAACATTTAGTAGGTGTTCTATTCTATTCATGGACAGCAGAAAAAAAGCTATTTTTCTATCATGTGAGGAAGAAAACATTTACTATGATTTTAAAAATTTCTGCCTTAAGGTTTCATTTCGTTTTATTTTTTCCTCCTCCTCCTCCTCCTCCTCCTCCTCCTCTTCCTTCTCCTTCTTCTCTTCTTCTTCTTCTTTTTCTTCTTCTTCTTCTTCTTCTTCTTCTTCTTCTTCTTCTTCTTCTTCTTCTTCTTCTTCTTCTTCTTCTTCTTCTTCTATACTACTACTACTTCTGCTACCATCACCACCACCACTACTATTATTTCTATTGCAACTATTATTGTTACTACTACTTCTATTGTCAACTACTATTACAAAATTATAGAGTGGGCATTAAGGACATAAAAATCCTTCTACATAATTGAACTGAGTTTTGAATATTGTGTTCCAATTGTTTATTTTTGTTAGATCATAGAAGTTACTGTTGGTAAAATGGTTCCACATCTAGAATTTTCAACCTTTGCTATATTATGAGCTGCTAGAAACCAGGAACCATCTTGTACTTGTCTGTATTTTCCTTGGTTCCTAGCACTATGCTCTATTTGTCAGACCTAGAAATGTTGATTGAATTTGTTGAACTTTATCAACAAAGCTTCTTCAGAGACAAGTTAACAATCATGATGTCACCCTAAAGATGACAGGCCATTTGGCTTTGTGTATTTCCTTGGCGAACAAAGCAACACCAGGTTAGTGTCTTTTTATTGTATGTTTAGATTCCACTAAATGTTAAAATAGAAACCAAATTCACACTTATGTGGGATTTAAAGACTTTTCTGTTTTCTTTTTTTGTAGATACTATGGTGTTGATGTTAAAGAGGTAAGTTCACATGTTCCTCTAGAACCAAGCCAATGTCCCAAACATTTAGCAAGAAAAAAACATAGTTCCTCACAAACAGACAAACCAAACAAAAAAAAACCCCAGCATTTTATGTCTAAGGAGTTTATTGTTAGGAAGCCACTGACACTGCTCTATAAAGCTCATAGGATTATTTAATCTTTAAATTATCTAAAAGAACCTCTTAATGGGATTCTACTAATATGGTCATAATATGTAAGTGTGTGAGACTTATTTGAGGGTTGATGTTGGTAGTAATTAGATGATAGCTCTTAGGGTATAAAGTTTATCATATTATAGATTTGGACAAGAAGTTAGGTGGCTTAGTCTTGGACTTGGAGTCAAAAAGACCTGAGGTCTATTCCTAACTTACTAGCTATGCCACTTCACCTTTGTTTGCCTCAGTTTTCTCATCTATAGCAAGAGGTTAATAATAGCACCTACCTCATAGGGTTGTTATGAGGAACAAATGATGTAGTGTGTACAAAGCACTTTGCAAATCTTAAAGTGTCTGCCACAAACACTTTAGTTATATTCTCATTATGACTATATTAGTGATACCAAATGACAGTCTCCATCAGATGGCAAAAGGAGAATTCTATTGATCCCTGCTACTTTGGGGAATTTCCAACGTGGTAGACGTTCACTATGTCTGTAGGTGATATGACTTGCTTCTCTAACCAACACTGATAAGCCGAAATGGATATTGGCTACCTCTGCCTCTGGCCACATTGATATCCTGTCTTACCCTTGCTCAGAACTGCAAGGAATAGAAGTAGATAGAGCAAGAGAAAACCACTACTAGCTCAATTTCCCCATTAAATTCACCAGCTGCCTTGGTATTAGGACTGTATAAGTAAGATGAAATAACAATTTGTTTTCAATATCTGTTTCCACTGATATTTTCAAACAAAGGATTTGACAATAGTAGGGCATAGACATCACGGTCCTAGTCTCATAAAAGGCAGACATCTAGAGTTCAAATTGACCAATGATAAGAGGGCTTTGATCCTAATAAGCCTATTGGATTATTTGCAAAACAAATCTGTAGAGAACCTAGACAGGTTATTGTCCTTCCAATTGAAGGCAATTTGGTTCTACCTTTCCTTAGGAAAGAACACTGATTTTTTCAAATGTGGATTTAAATCCTACCTCTGTGACCTTGGGCAAGTTAACTAGTCTGCCCAGGCACTAGGTTTGTCATATTTAAAATGATGGAGTCACCTCTATCGCAAAATGAGGAAACAGCATAGGACTTAAGGCAGAAGACTATCTTATATTAGAAGAGTTGGGGGATGGGTTTTCAAAGACTATATTAAGGGAGCACAAGCTCTGACTAGCCCTAGGCCCAGTGATATACCATGTCTCTCTTGCTTTAAGATCAAACCCAGCCAAGTTCATAGCGGTGATTATTTTTTATCCCACAGAAACTTATCACAGAACTCATTAAGGTAGGGATAGATTGTGACCCACATTAGCGGAAGGAATATGTATACCAAAGCAATTATGGATCCTTGAGCATATATTGATCTTATAAATAAGAGGTGGTAAAGAACTTATGGGGTACATGTATAAGTATGTTTATTTTAATTAGAAATTTATGCTGCCAAAAAATCTCATAACTTTTCTTGCAATCCACTATCTTACTGTTTCTGAATATGAAGAGGTGTAAGTGGAACTTTACAAACTCAAATTGTTTTTTAGTTAAACTCAGGAGTGCATTTTAATCTCAGATTCTATAGATTTCAAATATAACTTGAGATTCCTTCTATATTTACATTGAATGACTTTGGTCTAATGTAATAGTAATTTGGTAATGATTTCCCCATATTTCTGCCAACAGAATTATTTTCCTCATTTTTATTTAAAATTTCCCAGAAGGGGCAGTTAGGTGGTGCAGTAGATAGAGCACCGGCCCTGAAGTCAGGAGGACCTGAGTCTGGGCCTCGGACCAAACACTTGACACTTACTAGCTGTGTGACCCTGGGCAAGTCACTTAACCCCAATTGACTAAAAAGAAAAAAAGTAAAAAAATAAAATAAAATTTCCCAGAAGAGCATAGGAGTACATAATAAATTAGTTTTCATATCAGAACATCTAGCATTTCTTATCAATATATTTTAGAGTAAAAACAGTACAAAAAGATTAGTTGGATGAGGTTCAGCATAATAGTAAAGTGCTGTAGTTGGAATTAAGAACACGTATTCATATACTGTGTTTGATATTTATGAGCTGTGTGACTGGTCAACTCCACTAAAATTTCTGAACCTTGTTTTTCTCACCTGTGAAATGGGGATAGATAGTAGCACATACCTCACAGAGTTGTTTTGAGGGATCCCAAAGTGTTGGTGAGGGAATAACTTGAACTGCACTGAGATTTGTGGGCACTAAATGTGTATTGTGTTTTGCAAATAAATGTTTTGTGTATCTTAAAGCTATATCAAAATTGCTCCTATCATGATTATTATAAACACGGTAGATTGCTGTAAAGGGAAGATTGGGAAACCTTTGCAATTCCATTTCAGAATTGTCTCATTTTTTTTCTTTTCTCTTACAGCCTAATCCCTTGAGGTTTTCTCCCCATCAGGCAGCCTCTTGCTTTCTGAACCTCTTTGATTATTGGATCCTCAAGTTCTATGTCCCATCATTACTGACAGCTTGACAAACCCTCTTCATTTGCATTTGCTATGCTGTAGCTCACCCATGGGGAGACCTCTGAAAATCCCCACCTTCCATCCTGTCTGTGCAACTTGTTTCCTTCATGGATGTTTTTGCTCTCTTCAGAGAAAGCACACGTTCCCTTTCAGGGAAAGACTTTTTCAAGAGATTTAACTGCTCTTGTTAAACTGAGACCCATTCCCCTACTCATGGAGTAAGGGTATCCCTGTTTTACCCTTTGGCGCATTTTCTCTTCTGATTCTGAAGAAGGTCCATGTTCCTTCACAGACCCAGGAGTTCTGATGGCAGCAGCTTTGGCATTGCCTTCTCTTCTGCCAAACATCTAACCTTATCCAGACTTGAGACTTCAGTTCCTTCCTGCTTCATGTGAAAACACTACCAGCAAGGCCAATAATCTTTTCAGTATGTCCTGTTTTGAAGACTGAAAAGGAAAACCTCATTGAATATTACTCATTGCTTATTTTTGCAATCCTCATGCACCATTCAGAATTTTCTTAAACAGATTAAAATGTTTGTGGCATACCATGAATACAGACTTTAGTCATTATTCTCTGTCTTCCTCTTTTGAACATTAGGAAAATACTTCAGTTTTCTATATCAACCAATGCTTTTGTGAATGAGAAAGAACAGGGATAGTGATTTTTCACTAACTTCTCACATTTTGTTGTATAATCTTTAATAAATAATTTTAGTGGTGGCTTGTGTTAATATTAGACAGTTTTTTTGTCTAAGAAGTATAATCACAGTACTACATTTTATAATTTTGATTTCTATTGTATATTCTTAAAATGAAAAGCCTTGTTTTAAAGAACACTTTGAGTCTGAAGCCTTTATATGGATGTCTAATGGATTTTAATGTGCTAAAATGCAGTTCATCTCTCAATTGTAAATAATTCTTTTTAGGTTTTTCACAGACACTCTATAAGAAAGTCTACAAGAAACATGTGATGTTTAAATAAATTTATTGTAATGGGAAGATATGAGCATGATTACGTTATGTATATCATTCTAACCATTTTTTTTTGTATTCTTAGAATTCTATGGCCCTTCTTGGTGTCTGACGCCTGCAGACAGAGGACTTTGCAGGGCCAATGAGAAAAGATTTTATTTTAATTCTGCTATTGGAAAATGTCATTCTTTTAACTACAGTGGATGTGGTGGGAATGAAAATAATTTCACTTCTAAAAAATCATGTCTCAGGACTTGCAAGAAAGGTATGAAAATCCCTCTCTAAAACAAATTGCAAATGTCCAAAGAATTATACATATAAGTAGATTTTAAATGAGAAAACTGACAAAGAACTAAATGTCTTTATGTTATTATGTAAGTAGACAGAAACTAAATACAAATGTAAAAGCTTTATTCTTTTTTTTTTTTAAACTACTTTCCATTATATTCCTAGCTAAGGAAATATCTGCCATGACTAATTGGAATAATTGTCCCATATATATCACATAAGTATGTGTGGAAAAACATGGAGCTTACAAATGATAATCAGTTGTTTCAAATGGTTTTCTAATAGTTTCTGGCTTTTAAAAATTTAAGTTCAAACAAATATACCAAAGGCTAATTTTTCCTTTCTTAAATTTTCTCAAAATATACATTCATTTCTCTCTGAAGAAGAAAGTATAAAAGTCAGTAGACCTTTTCCTCCTCTCTATAGCATGTTATGTTTATTTAATTCAGAACAATGACTTTAAAGTCATTTTCATCCATATGTAGATGCAGCAAGTGGTAGTCATACCACGGTGAACACCAGTTATACATCTCCAATAATAATAATATATAATTATTTATTTTAATATTTAGCCATTAATAATAAATAAATAACTCATCCATTGACATGTAGTTAATACTTTAACTTAAAGTTGATAAGCCTTATATAACCAATATTGTTTATTTTTGTCCTTCATATAGGTTTCAGTAGACGAGCTAAAGGTGGATTAATCAAAACCAAGAGAAAAAGAAAGAAACAGCCAATGAGGATAATATATGAAGAAATCATTTTTGAAAATATATAGCTTCCTTACAAAATAACCTGAAATTCAAGGCAATCCACCACATGAGATTTTGCTTGCAAAATGTAGAATGGATGGCAATTTAGACAAACAAATTACCTAAAGGATTAATTCCTTGATTAGAGTCTAGAAATTTATTTTTTAATCGTTATCTCAGTAAATGACTTTATGAAATGTATATTGTTTATCTAGGAATAGTATAACCTTATTTTTTATCAATATGGCATGTGTCCTCTTCCCTATTTGATTAGATAAGTCATTCAGGTGATAATTAACCAAGTTTCATCACCTTGTCATTTCACTTTTCATACTGTACTCTTCTTGCATATATATATATATATATATATATATATATATATATATATGTATGCATATATATACATATATATTACTCATTCACAAATCATTACCATATTACTGTGTATCTCAATATGTAAAATTCAAAGTGATCTATGTTTTATTTTACTGACAATGTACTTATGGAACAGTTTTAAGCTATTAGGCATCATTTTTTTTTTTTTGTGGTTAGGCAATGGGGTTAAGTGACTTGCCCATGGTCACACAGCTAGTAAGTGTTATGTGTCTGAGGCCAGATTTGAACTCAGGTCATCCAGAATATAGGACCCATGCCCTATCCACTGTGCCACCTAGCTGCCCCAATGCATCATTTCCTACTCTCCATTTTAGCCTTTTATTGAGTTAAGGTTTCTGATATCAAGCAACAAGAATTAAGATTTTTTGATATCTAAATTTTGCTATCAAACAATTGCCGTTTATTCTTTGCCCCAAGAGATTAGCCAGCTGTCTTATACATTTGAACAGAGGCAGTAGTGATAGATTTTACCAAATATATTTTTCAATTTTAGTTCAATTTTTTAAAAAAGAATCAAGATCCCTGTGTTTTTTTTTCAATTTTAGTTAAACTTTTTTTTTTAAAAAAAGAATCAAGATCCAAAATTATTTTTATTGAAGTTGTATCAAGGCACAGAACTAATCTGAACATTTTATTTAATATTCAAACTCGCATGAATCAATGAGTCAGTCAAAGTGGTAGATTCCATTCTCCATGTCAACATAGTCATAGGTAAAATCAAATATTTGCTGAAAGAGGATGGGATTACAAAAATTAAGAAAATGTTATATTAAAATATTTTGGTTGTATATAACTAAATGTTATTTACACCATCAACATTTCATGCCCCTGTTAACATTAATTCATTGAGTCCCATAGGTCATGCAAAAATATTTAATTTTATTTACGTTAGGTATATTAATGTATATGTTGCAGCTAAAAACTACCAACAGTGAATAACAAATTTAACAATTTCCTTATTTCTTCTTTTACTCTCACAACTCTACCTCTATATAAATGACTTCCAAATCAACATCTCTAGGACTTATTTTTTCCCTATTCTTCACTGAAATTTTTGAGTCAGATATTTTGAGTTGTATTATTACCATAACTGAACATTTTTGCAATCAATCTCATTTTCCTCCAAAATGAGTCCACATTTTAATTTCCTCCTTGCTGTTTTTGGTACAATCGTTCTTACAGTCACTTAGGCTTAACACAATAATCAACTATTGCTTTTTCTTCCCTGATTTTGAATTGATCATTTATTCTTGCCTCTTCATCACTTGTAATGTCTTTGTATCTGTCTTTTCCTTTCCAATCTCATTGACAATTTATTCATGCCCATTCATTTGTCCTCTGATAGTCTCAGAATTGGTCTCCTTTGATTAGACTATCTCTAATACACTATACACACCACTACCACAGTAATATTTCTAAAATATCACTTTCAATATGTAATTCCTCTGCCCCAAATTTTTCAATGGATTGCACATCTCAGAGGACAAAGGCCCAAAGGCCCAGCATCCTAAGTCCTCGTAGTTTAGCTCAAACCACATTTTGTAACATTTTTTCTTAGTCCTCTCTACATGAACCAGCAACTCCAATTAAAAAATAAACAAATAAACCTGCTCTACACAACTCTAAAATAAGGTTTGAATGCTCAAACCTTTCTCTACCTTTGGTCACATAATTTCTGTAATCCAGAATGTTCTCTCCTTTCCTTTGCATTAACTAGAATCATTGGTATCCTTTTAGACCCAGCTCATGCTCATCATCTGAGCCTTCTTGCATAAATTTATTGACCTCATTCATATAGCGCCAATCATCCATAATGCTCACATCTTACAATAATGTACCCATATAGTTCATATTTCATAAATATGCACATGTAAGAGAGAGAGACAGAGAGAGAGAGAGAGAGAGAGAGAGAGAGAGAGAGAAGAGAGAGAGAGAGAGAGAGAGAGAAGGTGGAATTGGAATTGATACTTCTTTGCATCATATAGTTCTAGAAGTCATTTCCATATAGATTTTTTTAGTTTATCAAAGTTTTGTTAACATGTTAGTTACAAAAGATAATTAATTTGTGTTCCTAAGACAAAATTCTTTCATTAAAAAAAATCAGCAAATAAAATGATTAAGTTGGCCAAGGTTTCTTTAAAACAATTAGGAACATTTGAAGTTCAAACTTGATTGCAGAATTTGAAGACATTGCCACTTACTAATGAACATTAGTGACTACAGTGAAAAAACATTTTACATAAAACAAATGACTAGCCTACAAAACAGAAAGTAGAAATGGAAAATACATATTATCCTTCATTAACCGTCCTTCATAATTTCAACAATTAATTTGTCTTCAACTATCTGAGGTGAGGAAGTCGTATGGTCCAGAATTCTATTTCTGGAATCAAAGAACCTAGGTTTAAATTCTGCCTCTAACACTGACTTTGAGACCTTGGCTAGTCAATTTACCTCTGAGCCTCAGTTTCTTAATGAGGTTGTTGGACTGAAGTCTACTCAAGATCTTTGTGCATGTATGTCATATATACAAATATATGTACACTGCAATGATTCACTATGCTCAGATTTCCACCACTGTGTTTTCATTCTAGTATTTTTCTGAAATTGTCTAGTTTTATTGTTTCATTTTATATTATCTAAATAAATTTAACTGTGAATTACTAAAGGTTATAGCATTTAAACTAGATATTGATTTGCAGGTTCTGCATTCACCTCTTTCATTAAATAAAATGTGAGTCTTTTATTTACACATAAGAAATAAAATATATTAATCTGTAAACATTTTTCCCTGTGAATCTTTTCTGTTTAGTCCATAGTAAAAATAAATCAATAGATCTTAAAGTTTTGCAGCTGAGAGATACAAATCCTGAAATTTAAAAAAAAAATCCCTTATTCACTCAGAGTTTTTTCTTTCCTCCAAAGGAAACTTTTTAAAATTTCTTTTTGTAGGTACTTATACTCAAGTAAAATACTTTCTAATATTTCAAGTTCAATTTTATGTAGTTTCATTATAAAGGATAATGATACCCTTCCCCCATTGAGGTACAGTTAATTATGCTGTAACATTGAAAGTTACTCACTTCAAATAAATAAAGGGACATTTACATGGGTCTGATGCAATGAACGTAACTGGGGTTTTAGAGTATTATTAATTTAATTTCTGTAATTCCCAATACTTATTCTAGAGAATCAGTTATCCTAAGTGCACAGGAATTTGGAATGTATCATACGTAGGAACCTCAAAAAATAATGCAATGAATAGCATAATGACTCTAAACTATAGATCCAAATTCTGCTTTGTTTAGGCATGATTGGAGTAGTGGATAGTTGAACAAGTATTTCCTTCAGACTAATTCTCCCAGTGTGGAAGTTGGAAAAATCAGCAGCATCATTCACTATGTATTCCCATTAAATCAAGAATTTCACTGTCATATTTTTCATGAAATTGGAAAGATTCTATGCAAAATTTCACAGTATAAATATTAATAAATTCAAATAACTTGAGATATAGGATATTGATATAGAGGTAAAAGACTATTTTTCCCTAAAGCAGAAAACATATCTTTTACCTATAGGATATCAAAGAAGTAATGTCTCAGAAATTCTTCTTATAATGGGAAAATCAACAAAAATC